ATGCTTTTGCTCATGCAGCGCCTCGAGCCGAGCTGCGAAGAGCTCACGAGCGAGCTCGGAAAGCTCCAGGCGTCGTTCGACATGATGATGGACGCATGCGCGGAAATGAAGGCGGGCATGCAAGAGGTGCTCAACACGACGCCGCTCCTCGACCCGCGGGAAGAGACGGACGGGCCGGCCATGTATGCGCTCAACAGCATCGGGTCGCTCTCCAACATGGGCTGGAACAAGACCAACACGCCGTCGCCAGGTTCGTGTGGACAAGGAAGACTGGGGTTTCTTATCAATCTTATGTGTGTAGCGATCCAGTCGCACATGGCGTACATGGATCAAATGGTGACGCAAATGGGCTACCACAAGCAAAACCTCGCGGGTCTGCAGCAGATGATTGGCGAAGGCGCCGCGGCCATCGAGAAGGCCGAGACAAAGCTGCAGGTACGATGGGGTCCATCTCTTGCTTTTTCTTGACTTTCGTATATACTTGCTTAGTGCCTCGTGGATGACTTTACGTACCGCAAGCTGCAGCTGGAAGCCAAGATGAAGGCGTCGCTCGATCCGAAGGGCGTCACGCAAGCCATGCCCAATATTTATGCCGATATTGGATATATCTTTGGGGTGCTATCGATCGATCGTGAACATGTCTTATCGTTCTGATATTAGGCTGTCTACGAAGGCTTCCAGCCACCGCTGTACAACGAGAGCGTCGACAAGTGCGTGGACGATTTTTTCCACCAAGAAACCAAGCACCTCAAGGCCGTGGTTAGCCTGCTTTAGCTTTTTTCTCCTATATTCTCTATATATTGCCAGCACACGTAAGCAACCCTACCCGCTGCAGTGTATATATATTGGCCTCGTCATATAACCAGACGCGTCACGGGGTGTGTCACCGGCCGTCAATCTCGCGGACAAGGCCCTTGGCGCTAGTACCGGCGGGGACGATCATGACGGTGACGGTGCTGCTTTTACGCCGAGTGGACGGCGGAATCGCCGACGACTTGCGTTGCAGCTCGGGCGTGATCGGGGTCACGTCACCGGATTTGGACGACCCCATTTCGACCGTCGTCTTGGTCGACTTGGTCGTCGTCGTCGAGCGCTTGTTGGCTATCGATGGCTTGTTGCTTATCTTCTTGCGCTGGTTCTTGTTGCTCGCGCGGGCCTTGTTGACTATAAGCATCGATCAATCTTTCAATCTTTCAAAAGACGTAGTGCGTACAAATGGCAATGTGGGCCACAAACAAGATCTTGCGCTCGTCGTCCGAAAACGTCTGGCGCGCCTTGGCGTAGGCAAAATAGTAGATGGAAAAGACGACCCACATGCTTAGAAACGCCAAGAACGCGCGCTGGCCGTCGTTCTGGAACCCAATGATCGACACGAGGTTCAAGAGCCACACGCAGAGCGGGAAGACGGCGCCGCAGATACCGAGCGGACTCGTATACTGCCGCTCGAGGTGCGCAAACGAGAGCCGGAGGTAGATAAACCCAATGCACTGCGCAATGTAGGCGCAGAACGCACTGCAGATGCACACGGCGAAGAGCGAGTCGCCGATCGACGGCACGAAATACGTGACGAGGCACACGCCGTAGCCGACGCCGGACGTGAGAAGGAGCGCGGGGCCGTGCACGCGGTGCGGAAACCACGTGTGTAGAAAGAGGGGCGGGAGGAGCTGGGAGCCCGCGATCGCGATCGTGAGTTTGCCGTACGAATACATAAAGCCAAAGATGGTCGCAAACGTCGCGGGCAGTGACAAGAGTGTCGCGGCCGAGGCGGAAATGGAAAACATCTTAATAAACCCTAGTGGTAAGGACATGAAACTCAAAACGAAACTTTGGAAAAGAGTCGAGCGGAGTACCATTGTTGAACGGAATCGTATCGTCTTGCAGGGCCGTGTCCCCGTGCGACACGTAGGACGATGCGACGAGCACGAGAATGCCCGAGAGCAGCAGTGTCGCCATGCACGCGAGCTGGCCGTGCGGAATGACGCGCCGAGGCAACGTCGCGTCGTCGCTCGCCAAATTCAGCGACTCGATACCGACAAAAAACCACGCGGTCGTCGGGAGCACGTGGAGCACTTGGCGGGTATCGAACTCGTGGCGTTCGTCGCTGAACGCCGTCAAATCGGTCGTGTGGAAGCTAAAGCAGCCGACAACGTACACGCCGATGATCACGAGCGAGACGAACGCAAGCATCCGGTTCACGCGCCAAAAGAGTTGACCGCCCACGAGGTGGACACTCAGCGCGGCAGCGTAAATGAGCAGCCAAAGGACCGGCTGCATCGGCTCCACTGCCGGAAGCATGGTCGTGACCATCTTCCCGAGCATCAAGACCGACGCCGCGACGTACGCAATGTACTCGAGCGTTTCGCAGCACCCCATCATAAACCCGAAGTAAAACCGAGCGAGCAGCGCGCAATGCCGTAGGCGCCGCCGGCAAACGGCAGTGCGCTCGAGATCTCGGCGAGGCACGACACCATGCAGCAGTACGCGACACCCATGAGCCCCATCGCGCCGAGGTAGCTGTAAAAGCCAGCGACAAGACCCGTGTTCCATGAGAAATACTGGCCGCCGACGACGATCGTGATGCCGAGCGCCCAAATGTCGACCGTCGACGCCTCGTACCGAGGTGTGGACGGCGCCATGAAGAGTCAAGTGTGGACGACGAGATGGGCCAAAGTCGGAGGCCTAAAATTACGCACCGCGCATCAACGCCCGCCGTTGAGTGATTGCTTGTAGTAGTACAATGACAAGCTGCAAACACGGCGTTTGTTTTCTCCGAAAAGCGCACGTACGAATGACGCTCGTCCAGTAGGAACCCAGAGGAGGTAGCATTGACGTGCTAACCTTGAAACGGTCGAGATGGATGAGTCAAAATTGGGTGAGCACCGACCAGAGGTACAGTATATACCCCTGCCACCAATGCGGGGCCAACCATTGACCACCTTCAACATGCACCATAATGTCTTGGGACGCAGGAAATCGGAAGAGGTGCTTCCGTCACCACTACTACACAGGACGTGTTGTCGATCCCACACCCAACATTTCAACATTTTGAGTACGAATTGTGATGCGCATAGTCTTGCAGTGCTAACAACTGCGATCTGATGGATAGGCTCGCCCTGATTAATGGAGTAGGCTCGTCCTCGACCGGCCAACACACCAAGCAGACCCATCAAGCCGTTTTCTGGCGAGAGTACGTCCATTGAACACCCCTCAGTGTGTGCGACCTGTGGCAACTCTGACTCAATCAATCAATCAAACGTGTTCGCGTTGAAACCAAATTATCAAAAACTAACTCAAAGACTTCGCATACGTAGTGCTACGCCTGAATGCGTGGGAGTCAGCACCAGCACTTGGTCGTTGGGAGTGAGCTGCGCACGGAGAGATCCATCCCGTGGTGGACCCCACTCGCCGAGGGATTCGAGGTCGTACGCAGGCTCCTGTACTCGGACCACCCGACAGAGGAGTGCAAGCCGTCGGGTGTGTTTCAAACGAAACCGTCCGAGCCCGCATCCGAATAAAATCCGGATACCGACCGAGCGCAT